ACACACACACACACACACACACACACACACACACACACACACACACAGCAGAGAGTTAGAAACCCCTAGGACAACCGAGTTCCTGTTTCTCTGCCCCCTCCCTCCGCCCCCCCCGAGCCCCGTCCCCCCCCTCCCGGAGCCCAGCTGTGGGGATCCCCTGGCTCCCCTCCCAGCCCAGACACTCACACTTCCTACCCTCCTAGAGCCCAGGGATCCAGAGGGAGAAACAGCCTGATGCTGGTCCTGGGCTTGTACAGAGTTTCCTGTGCGCTGTCACCTCCTTCAGGGCATGCTGGGGACTGCAGCTGCCAGGAACCCTCCAGCTCCCTCGCCCTCCCCTCTGGCACATTCTTCTATTTGCAAGCTGGGCTCTGCTGGGTCCAGCAGCCCCTAGTGGAGGCCAGCAGCTCTGCAGTCCATTTCTGAGGGGCAGGGGAACGGAAATTCTGCACACACAACACTAATTTCTGCAAAATTCTGCATTGTGCAGTGGCACAGAATTCCCCCAGGAGTACCTGCAACTCTGCATCCAGCCACGAGGGGGTGCCTTAGAGTTGAGATGCACGAGGGGGGGAGAGTGACTGGACTGGGAGGAGACGTGAATTTTTGTGTCTGTTGTTACAGATGTACTTGTTGACAGGTTTTTTGAAATTGCCAAAATAATTAAAACTGGCATGATTATATAGTGTTATTTTGACAAATAAAATTTGCAAAATTTTAAAATATTGTGTGCATAATTTTTATTTTTTTGGCACAGAAATCCCCCAGGAGTAGTTGCAGGAAACTTGGCCTCTAGCACTCCCTCCTGGTGGCCACTTTCTCGGCCATAGTGATCCCTCTCAGCTGGTCTCTTACCCAGACTCCTGCACTGGGTCTTTTTGGCTCAGCCCTGTGGCAGAGTTATGTAACCGTTCAGTTCGCTTCTGGGGTTCAGGACTAAACAAAAGGTCCTTTGCCAATTCTGGGCTCAACTCCAAACTGCAAGTGTTTTTTGCTATTCCTGTATTTGACTCCAGTTCCCTTACCCATGTAGGCCCTGGCTCAGGACTCCTCTCCATCAGAGAGACCTGTCTCCTCCACAGTCTCTTTCCAGCTGTTCTCTTTCAGGGCAGGTTAGGTCAACTTATTACTGTGGTGGTTCATGCCCAGACTACCCTCCTTCTGTCAGTAGTGTGTGTCTTCACCAGGAGGGCTTCCCCCAAACTTAGGGGGGAGGGGGGGGGGGATGCTCCACATGCAACTCTGTGCCGGGAGCCTGGTTCCCTGCTCCCTGCCATCGGGAGCCTGGCTGCCCCCCCAGGGCTTCCTGCTTCCCGCTGGGGATGTAAGCTGCCTTATGTTGACCAAACTCTATAGTGTCGGCCAAGCCTCAGTCTACTTATATGGCTTAGTTCTGCCTCTTTTATCCAGGATGTGGTTAGATTCCTTCCCCCCCCCCTCCCGATTTCTCCCCCCCCCCCCCCCCCCCCCCCCCGACAGAAATTCAGAGCATGACTACTTGGGTCCTTTCCCTTGCCTTGCTGATGATGGTAGTTAAGCTCAGTAACAGACTGCATCCAGCTGAACAATATTGTCTCATAGTTTACTTGTGCTCCCCTGTCAGTCTATATCAGGGTGGATTGATTTAAATCAGTGATTTTAAATAATTGATTTTAATGATTTGAATCAGCAAACAGGAAACATTGATTTAAAATAATCGATTTTAATCAAGTTTTGCATTTGTACTTTTTAGTTGTTTTCCTAAAGAAAGTTTCTCATTGGTTGGTAACCATCATAACGTTGATTTGCAACTAAACCTAGCCTTTACACTAAATTTGGTTGTTCTTTTTGCTAACCAGGAAGATGTGCTATATCTGTACTAATTTATTTAAGCAATTATATAGTTGATTGATATTTTTATTTGTGATTTGTGTCACGCTCTACTTGACTGGAAATTCAATTAAATGCACAAACCCAACATTTTAATTAAAAAAAAAAAAATTACCTTAAGTTTGCTGGATATGTAAGGAAAAATAATTAAAAATGTTTTGCATTAAAAACTAATTTATTAAATTAACTACTACCTGTTAGGGAATTGAAGAGATTGTTTTTTGTCACCATGCCCGTCATGATTTTAGAACTAGTATATTTCATCCTCTCCTCACTAGTTTTTATTCATGAATTGGAAAAGGAAAACAAACTTTCCTGCTTTTTCAATTGGTTTCTAACTTCTGAATGAACTAGTCATTG